GGCGGGGAAAGGCCGCCGGGGGTGGGGATCGGGGAAGCCGCCAACAGGAGGAAGAGGAGACAAACTTGAGAAAGAAAGGGCTAAGGGACAGGGGTCTTTCAGATACAGGTTAGTGAACCCTTCAGTGTCATCCCCAGAACTGGGGAAAGTAAGATGAGGAAGAGGAAATGCAGGCTACATGAAGTTGTAGCATCATTTGTCTTACTACTAAAATGGCAGGGACTCACACAGTCAGCATGACAGTCCCGACACCACTTCTCCTTGCCAATCAGGGCTGGACATGCCGATATACTCTAACTTTAATCACAACCAACCAATTGTTATCCCTAACTCTGAAGTGAACTTTGAGGACTGCTTTATGAGAGATTGTTGGGTTATCCAAACATGAAACATGGAAGGACTGCCATTCTGTGGAAATTACAGTGTAAATGGGGAGGCTTTCATTTTGGGATAGAGTTTGACCACTTTAGTGTAAGAGAAAAAGATGATGAGATAGGACAAAGTACATTAATTACTGTGTAATTGCTCTGATAAAACACTTGATGAAATCACTTTATAGGACAAAAACTGCGGGCTTGGGGTTTCAGAGGGTTGGAGTCCATGGTGGGGGAGCAAAGTCACAGTGGCAGGAGTAGGAAGCCGGGGTGTCTCATCTTGAAATACAAGCACAAAGCAAAGAGAGCAATTACACATGGATGGAGGCTTTTAAATTCTCAAAGCCTGACCCAGAGGCATACTTTCTCCATCAAGGCCACCTCCCAAACCTACCTAAACAGTGTTACCATGTATGAAGATGAGGTGTAATGCCGTTCTCTGGTGATGGTGGGTTGGAGTACCTTAATTACAATGTGGTCTTGGTGTAACATCACAACATCCTACCAACTAATACAGCCACCTCTTCCTCTACAAAGTGCCTGTCAAATTGTTTCCTTTACTTCTAGGTGGGAATGTCCTCATCTTGGCTCTTTGGGGTGACGAAGGAGTTGCGCCCATACAGGCCTTTTACTTCAGTTTTGCTTTGGGTGCCCTCCTGGCTTCTACTGCTGCCTCGCATCCTCCAGCTGCAAAACTCGGTGGCTCAGCTTAGTATGACTCCTCACCTGGGCCAGGAAGTGTAACCCCCAAGGCAACCAGATCAACTTTCGGTTTGAAACCGGCTCCAGGGTGACAAGAGACCTCACTTCCTGAATGTGGTCCGCGCAGGCGCCCTGCGATCCAGAGGGCGTGGCCCCGGAACCGCACCTGCGCGGTGGGAAGGCTTCGTTCCCGGGTCAAGCTCGCGCGGGCTGGTCCCGGCGGGGGTTGGCGCCCGGGGCGACTCTGGGGCTCCAGGGCGGGGCCTGACAACACCCTGCAGGCTTAGGCTCCGGTGCACGGAGCTTGGCGGGTAGGAAGAGTTTGAAGCCGCCACGCTGGAGTTGGAGCTGGAGTTCCGTGAGGCCGGAGGGCGGCGGCTCCTCTCGGCCTCCCCGGGGACAGAGAATGAGTCCGAAGCTGTGGCCTCCGCGCGGAAAGGCCGTGCCCAGGACGTGCTGCGCTGGTTCACCACCGTGGTGCTGTGTGCCGCCTTCCTGGGGCTGGTGAGAGCTAGGCTGAAACCCTCTTTGGCCAAGGCTGGAGCAGGCGCCTGCAGGGAGCATGGTCTCCTCAGTGCCCTGTGCATGCGTGACTCTCGGGTGCATTGGTTAATTCCTTGGGTCTCAGTTTTGTCATCTGGAAATAGTGGGCATAACTCTTATCGTGGAGGGTTATTGTCAGATTTAAATACGTTTTCCAACATGAGCAAACTAAGTTCCTGGTGCAACGGGGTGTTAGAGGATGGGGAGCCCGGGCCTTTACCCTTTTGCACCCACCCACTGATGCTCCAAATTGGTCACAGAAAAGCTTTGAGAGATTGCCCCTTCCTGGAGGTCTGATCAAATCCTGCCAAACGCTTTATTTTGCAGACGGGAAACTAGGTCTGAGAACAAAGTGGCTTTTCTGGTTAGATGATAGCATCAAGGACATGTTTCTTACCCTGTTCACAGCCGGGTTTAAATCAAGCCTTCAGATTCTTAAATGGTTTTCTTCACTCAAGTGCAAGAAAAGAAACACCTTTTAAAGATAGCCTCTCCCTCTGTAGCTCCTGCTGCCTGGCCTGGAACTTGCTATGTAGCTCCAATTGGCCTCTAACTCAGACCCTGGCCTGCCATTGGCTCCCTGCCCACAATGATGATGAATTGAGACAGGGTATCACTCCATAGCCTTGGCTACCTGGGAACTCACTGTGTAGATCAGGATGGCCTTGAATTCATGAAGATCCAGTTGTCTCTCCCGAGTGCTGGACTTGAAGCCCTGGGCCACTTGCCTAAACTTGATCATTTTTGACTTGAGTGTTATGAGGGCTAAACCTTTTTTTAATCTTAAGCTTTATTTAAATTAAAAACAATCTTATTTTACACACCAATCCCAGTTCCCTTTTCCTCCCCTTCTCCCATGCCCCCCCCACCCATCCTCCGAGAAGGAGAGGCCTCCCATAGGGGACCACCAAAGTCTGTCACATCATTTGGGGCAGGACCTAGGCCCTACCCAGAGTATCTAGACTGAGAGAGTATTCCTTCATAGGGAATGGGTTCCCAAAGCCCATTCGTGCACTATGTATAAATACTGATCCACTGCCAGGAGCCCATAGACTGCTTAGGATTCCCAACTGACACCATGTTCAGGGGGTCTAGTTCAGTTATATGCTGGTTCCCAGCTGTCATACTGGGGTCCATGAGCTCCCATTTGCTCAGGTCACTTGTTTCTGTGGGTTTCCCCAGCATGGTCTTGAGCCCTTTGCTCATCACTCCTCCCTCTCTACAACTGGATTATTGGAGTTCGGCTCAGTGCTTAGCTGTGAATCTCTGCTTCTGTTTCCATCAGCTACTAGATGAAGGCTCTGTGATGGCATCCACAACCCCAGAAAAGCAAGGAAGCAAGGAGTACCCTAAGAGAGACATACATGGACCCCCAACCCCCAAAGGGAAAGGGACAAAATCTGAATAAATTGGGAGCACTGGGGGGGGGGCGTAGAAGAAAGGAGGAGAGAAGGAGGGGGGAGGAGGGCATGAGGGATCAAGAAGGCTAAGTTGGGGGAATAATAGAGAAGGAGAGCAAGGAAAGAGATACCTTAATAAGAGGGAGCAGTTACAGGCTTAAGGAGAAATCTGGCACTAGGGAAATCTCCAGGAATCCACAAGGATGATTTCAACTAAGAATCTAAGCAATAGTGGAGAGGCTACCTTAAATGCCCTTCCTCTATAATGAGATGGATGACTACCTTAAATGCCATCATAGAGGGCTAAACCTTTGATGAGAGTCACTTCACATCACTTGGCGTCTCAGAGTCTGAGTCTCAGTTGTTTCTTAAGAATATTTTGATGGGAAAATAGGGAAGGAAGACACCCTACAGATAATAGAGACTCTCACTGTGTGCCAAGTCTTGAAAGTGCTTTGAAGAAGTTTTAGGAGAACCTACACATGCTGTGGGCTTGTGTGTGCCTTGTCTTTAGCCCTTGGTTGCTGCTGCTTGGGCAGGGAATACCCTCTTAGTTTATAGTAGAATAGTGCAACACAACCATTTATTTATTTATTTATTTATTTATTTATTTATATGCTGGGGATTGACCCAAGGACTTAAAGTGTGCTAGGCTTTCACAGAGCTGTATTTCCCACCCACAATCAATGGTTATCAAAATTCACATGTATTAGGAACATTTTTCATAAAGGTTCTTAGGAATTTCATCTGAAAGTGAGGTATAACCCTTGGTTCTTGCTAGTATATTATATAACATCTGTTAGAAACTTTCTATCTGCCGGGCATTGGTGGCGCACACCTTTAATCCCAGCACTTGGGAGGCAGAGGCAGGTGGATTTCTGTGAGTTTGAGGCCATCCTGGTCTCCAGAGCGAGTGCCAGGATAGGCTCCAAAGCTACACAGAGAAACCCTATCTCAACCCCCACCCCCCCAAAAAAAGGAAAGAAAGAAAGGAAAGAAAGAAAGAAACCTTCTTTCCATGTTATATTTGTTTTGCTAAGAAAGCCTTATAGCCCATATGTTTCCCTATGGTTTTGGAATTTGAGGGAAACTATAGACATAGAAACATTCAGATTGTTTATCGGCAGCATTAGATGTAGATACATGCATACGCAGTTAAAGGAGGGACTCCATGTGTTCCAGAAATATTGGCAACTTAATATAAAAGCAGAATAATTTGGAGCTTCATAATTTAAAGTTTTAGCAATTAAATGTCTATATTACTTATGCATATAATGTATTTGAAAATGGTAAGTATATGCTTTGAAAATAGTTCATTACATTTTTTTTGTTGTTGTTGTTGTTGTGCATAGGGTTTGCGTGCAGAGGCCACCTTATTCTTTGACAGGGTCTCTCCCTGAGCTTGAAGCTTACCAGTTCAGCCAGACTAGCTGGCTAGTGAGCCCCAGAGGTTGCTGGGATTCTAGGCATGCTGCTGTGCCTTTATGTGCTGCCTAGTTTTATGTCAAGCTGACACAATTTAGAGTTATTTGGAAGTAAGGAGCTGCAATTGAGAAACTGCCTCCATAAGATCCAGCTGTAAGGCATTTTCTCAATTAATGATTGATGCGGGAGGCCCCAGCCCTTTGTGGGTGGTGTCATCCCTGGCTGGTGGTCCTGGGTTCTATAGGAAGGTAGACTGAACAAGCCATGAGGAGCAAGCCAGTAAGCAGCACCCCTCCATGGCCTCTGCATCAGCTTCTGCCTCCGGGTTCTTGTCTTGTTTGAGTTCCTACCCTGATTTCTTCTAGAGATGGACTGCGATGTAGAATTGTAAGCCAAATAAACCCTTTCCTCCCAAACTTGCTTTTTGGTCATGGTATTTCATTGTAGCAATAGAAATCCTAAGCCAAGTTGGTATCAGGATTATCGGGTGTTGCTGTGACAGACCTGACCATGTTGTTTGGGAGGATTGTGGAAGGACTTTAGAACTTTGGGCTAGAAAAGTCACTGAGTATTGAGGGCTGTCTGTCAGAGCTTGGAAGATAGAATGTTGTGAGCAGTACACAAGATGGAGGCCTGGCTTGTGACGTTTCAGAGGGAAGCAAGGGTTCTACTAAGCCGTTTGGGTTAAGAATCTGTGCTTCTAGTCGGCTGGGCCTGAAGAATCAGCTGTGATTTAACAAGATAACCTTTGCTTTGATCTGACAATGGATGCTGGTCAGTGGGGACTGAAGAATCAGCTGTGATTGAGAAGAGACCAGCATCGTTGAGGTGAAATCTTCAGGGAAGTATTTCTTCAGGATCAGCACACAGAAGCTGTGTTCCAGAAGTGGCCAAGGTTGTACCTCTTGTTGACAGCTGACCTTGATAGTATGAGTCACCCAGGTGGTGCTGGTTTTGAAGGCAAGAAGGAAGGGGTCATGGAGAGCAGCTGAGGCCTGGCACTGTGTGGCAGGGCTGGTGTCCCTGAAGAGAGCCCAGGAGAGGCTATTGGTCAAAGTGCATCCCAGTTGCAGCAGAAGACCTCCCCCCCCCTAGCATTTTGGAGATGCCAGTCCCAGGGGATAGCCACCAAGATCAGCAGCAGGAGTGGATTGGAGCCAGCCGGAGCCTAGATGACAGTCTTTGTGTGCTGCAGAGGGCAGAGCCACACAAGTAACCCAAGCCCTTTGGAGGAGCCCAGGAGATTGTGAGTGAATCCCAGACAGTTGGATGTTGAATTATTCACACTTTTGGAGTTTGGCTTTCCTTTGTTCAGATTGTGACTGTGCTCTGGTTCTTCCCTCTTGAAGTAAGAAAGTACTCAACTTATTTTGATTTTACAGGAGCCCACAGTTGAATTTTAAAAGAGATTTTAGGTTTTAAAAGAAATTTCGAATTATTTATTTATTTTGAATTAGAAACAAGATTGTTTTACATGTCAATCCCAGTTCCCACTCCCTCCCCTCCTCCTCTATGCGCCCCCCCCCCAGCTAAAACCCTACCTATCACATATCCTTTCTGCTCCCCAGGGAGGGTGAGGCCTTCCATAGGGAGTCATCAGAGTCTCCCATATCCTTTGGGATAGGGCCTAGGCCCACCCCTGTGTGTCTTGGGTCAGGGAGTATCCCAGTATGTGGATTGGGCTCCCAAAGTCCACACCTATGCTAGGGATAAGTACTGAACTACTACAGGAGGTCCTGTAGATTTCTTAGGTCTCCTCACTGAAACCCACGTTCCTGGGGTCTGGATCAGTCCCATGCTGGTATCCCAGCTATCAGCTGGGGACCAAGAGCTTCCCCGTTGTTCAGATCAGCTGTCTCTGTGGGTTTCACCAGCCTGGTCTGGACCCCTTTGCCCATCACTTGTTCTTCTCTGTAACTGGATTCCAGTTCAGTTCAGTGATTAGTTGTGGGTGTCTGCTTCTACTTCCACCAGCTGCTGGATGAAGGCTATAGGATGGCATATAAGACAGTCATCAATCTCATTATCAGGGGAGGGCATTTAAGCCTCTCCTCTGTTGCTTAGATTGTTAGTTGGTGTTATCTTTGTAGATCTCCAGACCTTTCCCTAGTGCCTGATTTCTCTGTAAACCTAAAATGTCTACCTCTGTTATGGTATCTCCTTTCTTGTTTTCTTCTATTCTTCCCCCAACTCAACTTTTCTGCTCCCTCATGAAACTTTGAATTTTTAAAAAGACTGAATTTTACAGTGTTTAATTGTAAAGATGATGGACATTTTAAAGGTTATAGAATGTTTTCTATTGTGATGTTGATATTAATGTGTGATCTTGGGGATGAAGAAGACAGGAAAGGTTATGGCTTAACAGTGATCTATTTGTGTGTCAAGTTGACGGAGTCCATTGTCTTGGCTAGTTTTATGTGAACTTGAGAGAAGCTAAAGTCATCTGAAAGGAGAGAACCTCAATCAAGAAAACTCCATAAGATACAACTGTAGGGCATTTTATTAATTAGTGATTGATGGGGGAGGGCCCAGCCTATTGTGGGTAATGCCATCCCGGGGTTAGTGGTCCTGGGTTCTATAAGAAAACAGGCTGAGCAAGCCTGTAAGCAGCACTCCTTCATGACCTCTGCGTCAGCTCCTGTCTCCAGGTTCCTGTCCTGTCCTGGCTTCTTTCATTGCTGGTCTACAGTGTAGAGGTGTAAGCCTAGACCAGTTCCTCCCCAACTTGCTTGTTGGTCATGGTGTTGGAACGGTAACTAAGACACTGTCCTTTTTAATATGAATGATGGGATCCACCCTCAGGACCTGGTGTTTGTGCAGCAGGCATTTCACTGACTGAGCCATCTCCTTAACCCCAAGTTTGTTACATAGTAACTATTAATACACAGTGGTCTCTTAGGGTATGATTCAGTACTAAACAGTTGAAAGGAAAGAAAATCAAATAGTTTTGTAAGTCATGTGTGTTGGAATACACGGGTAGTACCAATATTTGAGAGACTGAGAAAGGAAGGTTGTGAGTTAGAGGCCATCCTAAGCTACATAGTAAGGCTGAGTCTCCTAAACAAAGTAAAAACTTAAAATATCAAGGGTTGTGAGTAAAAAGCCACTGGGGAGTGTGTAATTCTACTGCTGGTAATGTTTGTTTCCTTAGGTTTCACTTAATGTAGTCGGAAGTCCCTTATGGTAGATTGCAATCCCCTGGCTGTGGTTTTGTTATCTTGGAAAAGCTACTTGTTGGGCAGTGTCTTAGTGATAGTAACACTGTCTTCTTTTTGTCTGTAGGGACTGAGTGTTGCTATCCTGGGACCCACCTTTCCAGATTTGGCAAGGAATGTGAACCGAAACATCAGCAGCCTGTCTTTCATCTTTGTGGGCCGTGCCTCTGGGTATTTATGTGGCTCTATGATTGGAGGAGTTCTTTTTGGGTGTATTAATCACTTTTTACTTTTGGGTAAGTAGTCATTGCTTGACTTCTTTGTTTCTGTCAACAAATTTACAACTCAGCTTTAAATGTGGAAAATTGTTGATACCAGAGATGGGTAGTGTGCTGGCATCCACCCTAGCAGCTGGATCTCTCTGTTCTTCTTCCCCTTTGGCAGCTGGAGGGAGTCTGTATTGATCCCCCTGGAAACTTGCTTGACCCTCAGGAGTGAGTGTTGGCAACCCCAAGAAGTGCTGACCTTCCTTGTAATGTGGGCTCCACTTCAGGCTCACACACTGGTTGACCATGAAAATCTGCTTATCTGGGGGTTGGGTGGGGCTTCTGGGGCCATGAGAGTCAGAATGACTCCTGGAACCTGGCCAGGCTCTGTGAACTTGGGCTGGAAGATGAAGGGATGGGGCAGTAGGGAAGTGATAAAGGCTGCTTTTCAGTCCTGCTGCCCATGTCAGAGGTGAACACAGGCTGATCCTATAGGATCCTGACCCTGGAAAAGAGGGCAGAGCTGTCAGCATGCCTTTTTCAATAAATTGGTGTGACAATTTGAATAATGCATTAAAATTCCTATTGAACCAAGAATACTTTATTGCTGATGAATAAGTAAATATTTTTTTGCCAGAGTAGAGCTGTTTTAGCTGATTTTTTTTAATGTTTCTTTTCAGGGGTGTCACTTTCTGCTACCACAGTTGGTCTTTATCTTACTCCATTCTGCAAGACAGCAGTCTTACTGGTTATCATGATGTCTGTCTTTGGTATTTCAATGGGTCTTCTGGATACAGGTTAGTGAATCCGTATTGTCATCTGCACGATTGGGGACATTACTGCTAGGCAAAGGAAAGCAGATGAGATTATACTATCATTTGGAATGTCCGGCTGGGGCCAGAATGCCTGGTCAGTCACCCTCTAACAGCCCCATCAGAATACCCCCCTTTGAGCCTATGAAGTAAACATACAGTGTGTTTCTCTATGAACAAGAGGTAATGTAGAACCACCAAACGTAGAAGTACAGATACTCAGGCTATGCTTTTAGGATAGCACCTGGTCCTTTTACTGTAAGAAGCCATGATTTGGGAGGTCAAAACAAGTAAAGAGCTGTTGTGAGGCTGCAGAGGGGCAAACACAGCTTCCAGCTGAGTTTTGAGCTCAGTGAAGCCGGTGCTGCTTGCTTCTTACTGTTTTTATTCTTTCCTTTTCTGGAAAGTTCCTGTTCTCCTCCCCTAGCAGACCCTCTTCATAGGGTAACATGACAACACAAACTCCAGTACTCTCTTTCCTGCTCTTGTGTCATTAGCTAGATTGTGGAAATATTTTATGCATTAGGTGCTGTTTGGTTGTAAAACTAGAGTGGAAATGCATGCTTCTCTGAAAGTTAAGCCGAGAGCCAAAGATGTGATGCTCTGGCTGTCACCTTCTAGGCTTTCCAGCAGAATAGTGCAGAGCCTGACAGCTGTGCTTGGGGCTGTGATGTATGTCAGGACCCTGGGCATGGACTTCCGTGACAGTGGTTGCCAGGGGCAAGAATAGAAAGCTTTGATGATTTGGCTACTATCTGGTGCTAAAACCAATCTCTCTTGTAAATAGATAGGTGTGTTATGTTGGTTTACCCCCTGGTGTGTTGCAAGCACATTTTATGGAAAGCCTTTGCTAATGTTTTGGCCCTAGTGGGTAGTGGTTTACCAATTCATCGGTTTTATGTGTTAAGAAGAGATGCTGTGATACAGTCTATTGGTAATAGGGTGTCACAGCTACTCAAACACAGCTAAGCCCTAGCGCAGGCTTTTTATCACCACATTGGTTCTGGTTAGTACCAGTGCACCACCCCCACCTCTTTTTAATAGTGATGTAGTGATCTTAATACATGATCGTTAATTTAAATAATTTCTTTTGTTGGCAGGTGGGAATGTCCTCATCTTGGATCTTTGGGGGGATGAAGGAGCCCCTCACATGCAGGCCTTGCACTTCAGTTTCGCTTTGGGTGCCTTCCTGGCTCCCCTGCTGGCTAAATTGGCCTGGGGAACATCAGCATCCACTCAGAACCACACAGAGCCTGACTTTGACCTTCTAATGCTCAACGGATCCTCTGAAGCCACCTCAGACTCTCTGTTTGCAGTACCTGAGGACATGAACCTGCTGTGGGCATATGCTTCCATTGGCACGTATGTTTTAGTGGTGTCTGTCTTTCTGTTTGGTCTGTTTTGTAAAAAAAGCTCAAGGCAGGAAAAAGCCACAGTATCTGCTCAGGAAGCTCGAAGAGCTAAATATCACTGGGCCCTGCTCTGTCTCCTCTTCATCTTCTTCTTTTTTTATGTTGGAGCCGAGGTGACCTATGGCTCGTATGTATTCTCCTTCGCCACCACCCATGTTGGCATGAAAGAAAGTGAAGCAGCTGGCTTGAACTCCATCTTCTGGGGGACCTTTGCTGCCTGCAGGGGCCTGGCCATCTTCTTTGCAACATTCTTAAAGCCTGGAACTATGATTGTGTTGTGCAACATTGGCAGCCTGACCTCATCTTTATTTCTGGTGCTTTTTGACAAGAGCCCTCTTTGTCTCTGGATCGCAACTTCTGTGTATGGAGCCTCGATGGCAGCCACGTTTCCCAGTGGAATTTCCTGGATTGAGCAGTACACCAGCATAAGTGGGAAATCTGCAGCATTCTTTGTCATTGGTGCTGCTCTAGGAGAAATGGCGATTCCTGCAATAATCGGAATTCTTCAAGGACACTACCCAGATCTGCCAGTTGTTCTGTACACGGGTCTGGGGTCGGCCACATTCACTGCAGTATTATTTCCTGTGATGTATAAATTAGCCACCTTACCTCTGGGTCATCAGCCAAAAGGAAGGAAGAGTGAGGACCAGAGAGCTTTGCTTTCCAGCTCTGAGCTCAACGACTGTGAAGAAGAGAGTGAAGAGGAAGATGCAGAAAAGTGGAATGAAATGGATTTTGAGGTGGTTGAAATGAGCGATCCGATGCAGGAGTCTGCAAGGGACACGACTGGAGAGGTCCTTAGGGAGCCCACACCTGAGGCTTCTGACCACTTCCTGTCAAAGGCGTACTTTTCAGTCAGTAGCAGCGATCCTCTTGTGAATCACCAGGACAAAAGGGACTGACAGAGAGATGAATTACTGAATGACTTCACTGAGTAATCGACACTTCTCAACCACCTCTCAGGCAGAGCTTTGGCAGACTTTCCACGTGCATTGGCAATTGAAATGTGTGGGGTTCACAGAAAGCAGTGACACTATTTGAAGTGTAAAATTCTCAGTCTTCTGTAACCCACTATTTTTTCTTATACAGTAGGCTCTTGTTAGAAGACTGTGTTAGGTCCCCACCTGTCAGAAGGCATTTTCGTGTGAGGAGCTGGGTAGTGTGTCAGTAAAGACACTGTAGAAGAGTGGAGCTACTTGGCTGAGCAAATGGTCTTACATCCGGACTCCGCTGGGGGCTTGTGGAGAGTGGGTCACTTGAAAGAGCCAGCTTTGGAAATGGAAAGATATTTTCCTTAATTTTACCCTCTATGTAGGGTAGAGCTGAAAAATACTGCTGTTTCTTATTTCTATGAGAATACAGGTAGGCCATGATTTCTAGATCAATATCTAGCTTCCTTCCTGACTTCATGCTCATCTTTGACATAGTCTGGTTTATTGGGTCTCCTGTGATTCTAGAAATGCAAGTGAGATTATTTCCAAATTTTAGAGTTTGGGTTTGTTTTGTTTCTTGAGTCTTACTTTATAGTCCAGGCTGGCCTGGAATTTATTATGTAGCCCAGGTTGGCCTCTGACTCAACGTCCTGTCTCTGCCTCCTGAATTTTATGCTACAGGTATGTGCCACCATGCATGGTGAAACGTGTAAGTTTTAAAGTTGTCTAATATTTTTGCTAAAATAGCCCATTCATTTCAAATGTAATGTAAAACAAAAGTGATGGTTTAGCCCTCCGAATGTGCTTCAGCTTGTGAAATCCTACAGTTTAGCAAGCAGTTTAGTAGCACCGCTGGAGTCACTGATCTACAGGATGTCCCTTTCCCTTACACTCAAGGGTCATTATTTAAGTGTTCCAGCAAATTTTATTCTTGTTTCCCATGCATTTAAAAAATTTTCCCCAATTGCTGTATCATGTTTGTGTAATACAGCAGTTTACTGCATTTCAGAGATTATGGTATTTTTGCTGACACTTTAGAAGAGAGGGTTTATTTTTATATGTGAGTCTATATTGTGTTCAGAGGATTTGGAGACATTCTGTTGATTTTATGTAATTATTATTTTTTTAATGTTTACTTTTTTTTTTAGTGCTGGTGACTGAACACAGGGCCTTGCACTTGCTAAGCAAGTACTCTGCCACTGGACTAAGTTCCCGGTGTCTTATGTTTCAATTATAGAAGCAGTTACTACGTTGGCAGTAGAGGTGTGGACAGGTCCTTTGGTGCTCATAGCCTGCCTCAGTAGCAGAGGCTGGGTCTGGGCCTTGCAGTTAGGATTTGACTCTCACTGGATTGGGTTATTAATCACATATGTACTGTAAACCAGGCTAAAAGTTCAGTTTACAAATGAGGCACCATCTTTTTTGGTGATTGGAGAACCTGTGTACCCTCCAGGACTTGTTGAATTTGAAGTACCTGGAGACCAAAGTAAGGATGGTGTGATGGCGTAGGAAATCAGGATAAGGGATGCTGCTGCACAAGTGTGGCAGAACTTTGACCAATGGCTTGTACCTCTTCTCAAGTTTTATGCTGAGTGACAATGAATTGCTATTTGATGGCAATGTGTTTGCTAATCTCTTACCAGATTTTAAAATTTGCTTTTCTTAAAACAAGTGCTGTGTGTTTTCTTAAAAAAAATTAAATTTTTTTTTCTGTGTGTGACTTTTGTGACATCTATGTATAGGTGTACCAAATGGGTGCCTGGTGTTGGAGAGTCCAGAAGAGGGTTCAGATCCTCTGGGACTGCAGTATAGATGTTAGCAGCCACCTTGAGGGTCCTCTGACAGAGTAATCAGTGCTCTTAACTGCTGAGCCGTCTTTCCAGCCACCCGTCTTGACCACTGCCCATTGACCTTCCATATGCCAACGACCACACTGGTTCAGGTTACTTAACACAGCATTGGAGGGAGTGGGTGTTGCATGAATTATCAAAACCCGAGACAGATATTGGGGTTAATACTGAAGACTAGACGAGCAAAGCGGCAGCCACCCGAGAGTTCTCACCTCTACCAGTGCTCAGACAGAAGGGGTGATCCTGTCCTCAGACTGCATCTCCACACTGCACTGCTCCTCACACTGCCTGGACTGCAGACTGAATGCCACATGAGACCCTGAGCTCCTGTCTTATTCCTCTCTAGTGCTGGGATTAAAGGCATGCACCACCACTGCCTGGCCTCTATGGCCAGGCCTCTTCTAGGCCAAAACTTAAGGTTGCTGGAATAGGAAACAAAATTTTCCTAGTGGGTCACTAGGATTAATAGTAAGTGCAGCTGTTCCCTTTTCTGTCCCTTGATATCTGGACCCATGGATATTGGCCATGAGAGAAACTTTATCATAAATACGGATTCTGATTCAAAGAATATACTACCCACTGGAAAGCCCCCAGCCAGCTCTGTAGGCTGCTGCCACCTAATCGGTGCTGTAACTGTCTTCAAAAGGCCATTCCATCTTTCTATCAGGCTAGCTGCTTCAAGAGAGTGGATTCTGTGATTGTGGGCCCACTGTCACACTTCTCTGGTGGTGAAGTGAATTCCTTGGTCAGAAGCAATACTGTGTGGAGTATGGTGTCAGGGGATACAACACTGTAAGTTCATGGATGTTGTTGGCAGAAGCATTACATGCAGGAAAGGTGTCTTAGTCAGTGTTCTTCTGCTGTGAAGAGACACCATGGCCATGGCAACTCTTATAAAGGAAAACATCTAATTGGGGCTAGTTTACAGTTCACAGGTGTAGTCCTTTATCATCATGGCAGGACATGGCAATGTGCAGGCAGACATGATGCCAAACAGTCAAACGATGATTCCATGGGGGCCATACCTATTCAAACCACCACAAAAGACAAATCTACAACTGTTGTGCAATGTTTTATTCTTTTGGCTTTTTTGAGGCCCCACCACCCAGCTCCCCAATAAGTCACACACGGATGCTTATTCTTAGTTATAAGTACCTGACTTTAGCTTGGCTTGTTTCTTGCCAGCTTTTCTGAGCTTAAATTATCCTGATTACCCTTTGCCTCTGGGCTTTTTCCTTTTCTTCTGTATATCTTACTTTACTCTTACTCTGTGGCTGGCTGGCTAGGTGGGTGGGTGGCTGGCCCCTAGTGTCCTCCTCTCCTTGTTCTCTTGATCCTCCTTCTCTTCATTTCTCCTTCTATTTGTGCTCTCTGCCTGCCAGCCCCACCTGCCCTTGCTCCTGCCTCACTATTGGACATTCAGCTCTTTATTAGGACCATCAGCTGTTTTAGACAGGCAAAGAATCACAGCTTTGCAGAATTAAACAAATGCAAGATAAACAAAAGTCACACACCTTAAAATAATAGTCTTCAATGCATAACCAGATGAGTATCTACTCCAGTAAGGACAAAGCATTGTCCTTTCCATAGAGGCAATGGTCCAATACTGTGAAGCTAACACCGGGACACTGGCTGGTCACCCCAGGGAATGGTGCCGTACCTGGGGCTCCGTGTTGGTGTTTGCTATTGGCAGATCTGGGATCCAGTACTCAGCAGCAGCTTTAGCCAGGTCAGCCTTTTAAGTGGAAGTCCATGTTGTTGAGTTCTGTCAAAACCATCATCTCTGCCGCCAAGGCCACTTTGTCCATGGGACCATTGGGCAATGACTGATGATGGAGTTTCTGTTCTGCTTGATCTAGTAGCCATTTGGATCCAAATAAAGACACAGAAGCTTATATTAATTATAAACTATTTGGCGGATGGCTCAGACTTCTTATTGGCTAGCTTTCTCTTAATTATTAACCCCTTTCTATTAAACTATGTGTTGCCAAGAGGCTGTGGCTAACTTGTAATGCTCCGGTATGTTACTCCTTTGGTGGCTATGTGTCGAAACCCCTTCGAATCACTCTCTGTGTTCCTATCCCCAGAATTCTCCTAGCCTGGTAGCCCCACCTAGACTTCCCGCCTGGCTACTGGCCAATCAGCATTTATTCATCAACCAATAAGAGAAACACATATTCACAGCATACAGAAGCACATCCCCCATTAAACGACAGGGATGGCTTGAGAAAGGCTGACTGTCCACAGACTGGGTCATCCTATCTACTTGATTACTGAACTCGTCCTCAGCTGGTCACCCTTTGATGAGAATTTATATGGGATACAAGTATCTTCATTCATATCCTTAATCCATTTGGAGAGATCTATATATTTCTTCCCCAGATGTGACAATCCAGCCAATACATTGGCTACAGACTATGAATCACATACATGAGCAATCACACATCTGGCCATTTCTCCTTCCACAGCGCTGCGGTGCTGTGGCTGTCCACTTCTGGGTGATTCGCGCATAATGCATAGAACTTAACTATCAGTAAATCAGGCCCTACTCTTTTTGTCCTCAGTCAATCAGTCATATGGCACACCTCATGAGGCTATATAGGTACATGTAGACAGCACTATGACAGGAATAGAAACCATAGGCATTTGGGCAACTTCTTCATGTAATTTGCTTATGCTCTCAGGACTGCTCTGGCCCAGTCATGTATATACCTTTCAATTTGATAATGGTTTGCTGCTGTGTATGTCCTACTTGTGACTTGGTGGGTTAGATAACACCCAGCTCAGGTTGTATAGTAACTTGGTGGTTCACTGTCAAACTTTTGGTTTCTACTATGGCCCGAAAGCAGGCCAAGAGCTGTCTTTCTCTTTCTTTCTTTCTTTCTTTCTTTCTTTCTTTCTTTCTTTCTTTCTTTCTTTCTTTCTTTTTCTTTCCTTCCTTCCTTCTTTCTTTCTCTTTTTTCTTTTTTTTTTAAAATTAGAAACAAGCTTCTTTTACATGCTAATCTCAGTTCCCTCTCCCTTCCTCCCCTCTTCCCCTGCTCCCCACTTTCCCAACCCCTTTCTGCTCCCCAGGAAGGGGAGGCCTTCCATGGGGGACTCTTCAAAGTCTGTCATATCATTTGGAGCAGGGCCTAGACCCTCCCCAGTGTGTCTAGGCTGAGAGAGTATCCCTCAATGAGGAGAGGGCTCCCAAAGTCCATTTGTGTACTAGGGGTAAATACTGATCCACTATCAGTGGCCCCATAGATGGTCCAGACATCCAAACTGACCTTCTTGTTCAGGGAGTCTGGAACAGTCCTATGCTGGTTTCCCAGCTATCAGTCTGGGGTCCATGAGCAACCCCTTGTTCAGGTCGGCTGTTTCTCTGGGTTTCTCCAGCCTGGTCTTGGCCCTTTTGCTCATCACTCCTCCCTCTATGCAACTGTATTCCAGGAGTTAAGCTCAGTGTTTAGCTGTGGGTGTCTGCTTCCTACTGGATGAAGGCTCTAGGATGGCATAAAAGGTAGTCATCCATCTCATTGTCGGAGAAGGGCATTTAAGGTAACCTCTCCTCTATTGCTTAGATTGTTAGTTGGTGTCATCCTTGTAGATCTCTGGACATTTCCCTAGTGCCAGATTTCTCTTTAAACATATAATGGCTTCCTCTACTATGGTAGAAGAGCTGTCTTTCAAAGGGAGAATAGTTGTCTGCAGATGATGGTATGGCCTTGCTCCAAACCCCCTAAGATCTCTTCTGTGATTCACCTATGGGGTCCTGCCGAAGGCTTCAAACAGCATCCCTATCTGCCACTGACACCTCAAGTACCATTGGGTCTGCTGGATCATATATGGTCCAGGTGGTAGAGCAGCCTGGACCTGTTTAAGAGCCTTCTGTTCCAGGCCCCACACAGAGCTAGCAGCTTTCTGAGTTACTTGGTATATGATCGGAGTAACATATCCAAGTGAAGACTGCTGTCTCCAGACTTTGAATTGGCTCATGTGTAGGTGTCGGGTTCAAAAGAAACTCCATTTCCCCAAATTCTGGCCGTTAGACACAAGCTAGCACTCCTCAGTTACTTGTGAAGCTGTTCCCCTCTATCAAAAGGAACCATTTCCCCTATCACAGTCAAAAGGGACACACGGCTATCAGTGGCGCTAATACCAAAGCACTTGCTGGCCTCCAGGATCCTCAGTATCCTAAATATCTGTTACTCATTTCAGAGTCCATCTTCAGCTTCTCTTACCTCCCCTCCCCTAAACTTCTCCAGCTCATAGGCTTCCCTCCCACCCCCAGATTCTCCATATAACTCTATTTCTCTTTTGCCTGTTTTGTCTTCATCTTACCCCACTCTACCTCCCCTCTCCCCCACCAAACCCTCTCGATTCTGCTCCTGCTTCTCTCATGGCCAGGGCCAGTCTGCTGGCCATGTTCAGTCTACCACTTTTTCTGTTCTGGACTCTTTCAGATGTCTCTGGCTATTCTTTTCCATCC